CCATCCTTAGAGGTTTTTAAGGCCTAGCTTGACAAAGCCCTGGCTGGGATGATTTAGTTGGTGTTGGTCCTGCTTTGAGCAGGGGGTTGGACTAGATGACCTCCTGAGGTCTCTTCCAACCCTACTATTCTATGATTCTATTACTGGTCAACCGGACACCATGGGGAACTGGAAGTTAGCTATCAGGCAGCAGCAGAGACAAAAAAACCCACCACCAACAAAACAAACCAGCAAATACTCTACTGTGCCTGTATTGTACCTTAAAGGTAGGCACATCTGGACTGCCTGTCCCCATCCTCACCCCCTACTCCCCACGGCGCGGGACAGCCACTTACAGGAAGGAGGTGGTGAACACTGTTTTCCCCTCTCCCTCCCACCCTGGCTGGGAAGGGGACAAGCTTGCAAGCTCAGAGCCCAGTAAAGCATTTCTAGTTGCCATTACCTGAGGTTGAAGGATAGGAGAAATTGTGTCCCTGATGGCATACCTGCCCTTCATGGTCTTTTTTAAAGACAAAGTCACATTGAGGCTGCATCCCAAGTTTCTCCGTAAAGTAGCCTCCCCACCTTTCATATGAATCAACTAATCTATCTTCCCATTTTTTCCAAAAATATCATTTCAACAACAGGGAGGCAATTCCATATATGCCATATGTAAGAAAAGCCCTACCATTTTATTTGGACAAGACTAAGAACTTTAGGAAGTCTCCTAAACTCTTCCTTTCATTCACGGAAAGATACAAAAGTTCTGCAATATTAGCTCAAAGACTCTCCAAATGGGTCTCCGGTTGCATTAATCACTGTTACCAGGCGTGCAACCTGATGCTCCTGTTGGGAGCTTACACGCACTCCACGAGATCAGTTTCTACCTTAGAAATGTTCTCATCTCGGAAATTTGTAGAGCAGCGACCTGGGCCTCTGCCCATGCGATCACTGGAGACTCAGCCTCAAACGCCATCTTCGGCTCCATAGTACTGTCTTCAATAATAGACCCCTCTCTGAAGCCACAGTCCTCCATAGGGGATGCTGCTGTGAAGTCACCTACAGTGAAGCAACCATAGAAACACTACTTGAAGAAGAAGTTACTCGCTTATGCAGTAACAATTGTTCTACAAGATGTGTCCCTATGGGTGCTCCACAACCTTCCCTCCTCCCCTCTACTTCGGAGTTGATAAGGGTCTCTGCGGTAGAGAAGGAACTGAGGTTCACCCACGCAGCGCTAGATCGCCTCGAGGGAAACCACAAGGGCACATGCGTGGGCCGAACAGACACTGCTACCTAAAATATCTGATTAGAGGAGCAGGGGCGCAGATATACCTACAGTGGACACACATCTCGAAGAACCATTGTTATTGCACAAGGTGAGTAACTTCTTCTTTTCTTTTCCAGATTCCCACTGCTGTGATCAATTTAGAAGAGAGTCTCCCAACCACTGTTAACAAATAGTATCCATCTTCTGTGAATCGAAGTGGGAATTCCCATTCTCACGAATAGTTTTTCCTCTTCCACATTTCTGAATGGTTTAATCCTCCACAGGTCCATACAGACGTTAGCTATCTTCCTTGCTCTACAGGTAAGCGACTACTGACATACTTTTAAATTGATTCTTGCTGTTCATTGTATGAGAAAATTAAGTTAACCCTTTTGAGTTGTAAGAAGGTAAAAATATTTTTCCTATTCTGAGTAATACATCTCCCTACTTTCTTCTCCCCTCCCACCATGTGCCACTTATTGTGAACTCTGATCATTCAAATTTAGCCTGGAATAATTTACCAATAAAAGTAGTGCCTTAAGTTCAGGGCTTTATTTGGGTGGGGAAGGTGGGAAAGTATATTGATAGTCCTAAACTCTGGCAGGAAACCAGACTCCATTCTCTCAAAACACAATTTATGGTGGACTCTACAGAGGTGGAAAATGTGGTCATCTAGACTGCTTCAGTCTGGTTCACCCATGAGCAGAGCTGGATTAAATAATAAACACAAAAGACACATGACTAGAACCTCAGTTGGCAGTCGTGTGATGGCAGAATCTGAGCTTTTTCTTTTTCTTTTTTAAATAAGGGACATGGGAGTGTTTCTAGTCCTCATGATTGTGAAGGAAAAAACTTGAGAATGTAAACTGAATGTAACCAATGCATGATGTCTGCCTGAGCCTGCGCGCAGCATTTAGCAGAGGGGGGAGCAGCAGCCCCTGCAGTCAGAAAGAAAACTACCTGTCCCAACTCTTACCACCAGAGAAGACCAGGCCTCTGCTGCTCTACACTCATAGAAATGTACGGCTGGGAAGGACCTCAAGAAGTCATCAAGTCTAGCCCCCTGCACTGAGTCAGGACCTAGTAAACCTAGACCATCCCTGACAAGTGTTTGACTAACCTGATCTTAAAAGCCTCCAATGATGGGAATTCCACAACCTCCCTTGGAAACCTATTCCTGTGCTTAACTACCCTTATAGTTGGGAAGCTTTTGCCTAATATCTAACCCAAATCTTGCTGCTGATTAACCATATTACTTCTTGTCTATCTTTAATGGACATGGAGAACAATTGATCACCATCCTTTTTATAATGGTTTTCAACATAGCCGAAGACTTATCAAGTCCCTCCTCTGTCTTCTTTTCTCAAGACTTAACATGCTCATTTTTTTTAACCTTTTCTCATAAGTCAGGTTTCCTAAATTTCTTATCATTTTGTTGCTCTCCTCTGGACTCTCTTCAGCTTGTCCTCATGTTTCCTAAAGTGTGGCATCCAGAATTGGACACAGTACTCCAGCTGAGGCCTCACCATTGCCAAGTAGAGCAGGACCTCTCGTGTTTTACATACAACAATCCTGTTAATACACCTCAGAATATTAGCCTTTTCACAACTGCAGCACATTGTTGGCTCATATTCAATTTGTGATGCACTATAACCCTCAGATCCTTTTCAGCAGCACCTAGCAGTTAGTCCCCATTTTGTAGCTGTGCATTTGACTTTTTCCTTTCTTAGTGTAGTACGTTGGACTTATTGCTATTGAATTTCATTGTGTTGATTTGAGACTAATTCTCTTATTTGTCAAGGTCATTTTGAATTCTAATCTTGTCCTTCAAAATGCTTACATCCCCTCCCAGATTGGTGTCATCTGCACATTTTATAAGCATACTCTCTGATCCATTATCCAAGTCATTAATGAAAATATTGACTAGTACTGGACCCAGGACTGACCTCTGCAGGACAGTAGCTACGCTCTTGCAGTTTGACAGCAAACCATTGATACCTACTCAGACTACTGACTTTCTACCAGAATGGATGTGGTCAGTTTAGGAGGGTGTCTTGGATGTCTTTCTGGGTTCTGTGATGGGACTCAGATGCCCTTCTGGGCTCCTCTGGCCTTTTGGTTCTAGGATTCAGCTGGGAGTAGTGGTGAGGAAGTATGGTGGTTCCCTCCCATGCATCATCCGTGTGTTGCACCAAAATGAGAACTCTTACAATAGATTGTTCCTCTCATTTCTTACAGTCTTTGATCAGCAGTGAAATAGTGAAGTGCTCATATGTAAATAGTCATCACTGGGCATGCAAGTTAATGCTCCATTGAGAGAAATGGGAAAGTTCACACTTCTCTTAGTACTAGTTTTCGGCTTTCTGCAGACCCAGGTAGACTTCACTATGTTAGTTACATTCATTTAGTTTGAAAGTTTCCTTCTGAACCATAAGGGTTAGAGCCTTTATGATTAAAAATAATAATAATACTAAATCTGAGATTCTGGAGAACAAGATTGCAACCTTAGAGGGGAAAATTGCTTGATTGTTGACCTACTCAACTTGAGCCCGAATAATTTTTATCAGAGTTTTAGGAAAATTTGAAGATGCAGTGAGAGAATGCACAGTATAAAGAAAACATCATTTGAAAGGGCATGCCTATCAAAATACATAATATCAAAATACAGTTTTTCAATTACTTAAGTCATCCGTTCATTTTTTTGCTCATTTTTGGTAACATGTTGGCTACCAGTTGGCCAAAGCTTACCTTATCACAAAACTCTGATCTGTAGTTGTGTGTGTGTGTGTGTGTGTGTGTGTGTGTTGGGGAGAAGGATGGGAATGACACATATGTCATAGTGACAGAATAATGAGGTAGGAAAATGTAGGGCAGCCGCTGCAGAATTTAGTCTCACTGTGTGGTAGAATACATGGGTTCCTACGTAATCCCTCTGATAGCATATGTTATCTTCCCCTGTAGTGTTTGGTCTATGTAGAGGATAACAGTTTACAATTGGTATCAGTTATTCCTTTAGTCTGATGTGGATATAGAGCCTGTTGTCAAACATTGTTGAATTACGAGGCGTGGGGGTTCAGTATAGTTTCACATGCTATAAACCCTGTTTTCTTCAGTGTATGTAATTTTCTAGCCTTTTTATAAACAATGTTAATGTTGCAATATCCAACACTCAAAAGTTAGAATCTGTGTGTAGTGTTAATCCATCTATGCAAAACAAAGTGTCTGTATACATACTCATGTTTATATTATGTTCTTCGAGTGATTGCTCATGTCGATTCCAAGTAGGCGCGTGCGCGCCGCGTGCACAGTCACCGGAAGGTTTTTCCCCTAATGGTACCCGACGGGTTGGCTGTGGAGCCCCATGAAGTTGCATCTTCATGGAGGTGTATATAGGTCCCTGCTGACCCATCGCCTCTTCAGTTTTTTCTTACTGCCAGTGATGGTCGTTGGAGTAGCTCCTCTCTTGCTAACTGCAAGCGATCCCCTAGTGGACTTTTTTCTCATTGTTATCTGTAAATAGTTAAAATTTTAGAGTTAGTTAGTTCAAATAGTCTAGTTAGTTTCATCCCTAGGTGGCATCTGACCCCAAGCCCAGTACTTTGGTGCGGAGCATGCCGGCCTTGGTAAGAGAAACCACGGTGCCAAGAAAGGACTCTGGCTCCAGGGACTCTCAGCACCGCCATTCTCCAGCGCCAAAGACCTCCTCCAGTGCAAGTGCCCGGCACTGTTCCTTTCACCGGTGTCACACAAGAAGAAGAAAATGGAGAGAGGTCGCTCTCCCATTAAAGTAGTGGAGCAATGAGGCACCAGCAGGGTGTGTCCTGTGCTGGGACACCCTGCTCCGGCTCCGACTCAGCTGGCACGGTTGACTCCAGCCTCAGGGGGAGGTCTGTTGTGTCTGATTGTAGTGGACTCCCCGGTGCGGGAGAGTTGGGAGGAGGACATAGACCTTCCTTTTACACGGGACACTTTTGAAGCAGCTAAGGACCTCGTTGCAAGGAATGTGCAGTCACTGGCACTGGCGCCGCAAAGAGGCACCGTGCCCTCTAGGCTCTAGCTGATGATGATAAGGCACCACTCATCCTCACCTTGACACCGCTCCCTGGCACCGTCTCGTTCTGCACCACCTAGGTTGCCGAGGTTGGAGTCCTCATTGGACTAGGAGGTATAGTCGCCTCTAGGTGAAGCCGGCACTGTTCCCGGTATCGCTTGAGGCAAGAGGAAGGGCAGCTGCTACCCATGATGTCCTGGCCTCCACAGTGGCAGGCGCTGGCTCAGTGTCTCTTCTGGACCCCATGGGCCTACCACCATGTCCAAGGGCCAGGGTCCAGATCCTTGTTGGTGCCTTCAGAGGCATGGGTCCCTCCATCATCGACTCCAGTAGCCTGGGAACCTCCACAAGGGCAGGAGATGGGCACGCAGGTCGACACTGGGGCCGGTACCGAGATGGGTGCAGGCCCGGGAACCAGCGCCACCCCCTGCACCACACAGGGAGTTTCAATGCAAGGGGATCCCCACAAACCAGAGGGGCAGGAAGACTCAGTGCCCCCGCGGGCATCTTCCTCATGCTTCCCAGATGAAGCGGTGGCGGGCACCACCACACTGCCTGCCCTGGACACCAGGGCACACCAAGAGTTGCTCAGGAGGGTGGCTGAAAACTTGAGCATGCACGTGGAGGAGGTCTCAGAGGAGACTGACCCTATGGTGGATATTCTGTCCCTGAAGGTCCTTCAAGGGTGGCTTTGCCCCTCATTTAGACTATCCATAACACGACTAAGGTGTTGTGACAAACACCTGCCTCTCTTCCCTCCATGGCGAAAGGGGTAGAGAAGAAATATTTTGTGCCCTCCGAGGAGCTACTTGTTTAGCCATCCTCATCTGGGTACTCTGGTGGTGGAGGGGGCCAACCAGAAAGAAAGACAGGAACAACTGGGGCCGACCCCTAAGCAAAGAGTTCTATACAGACCGCCATGAAGGTTCGACTCCAGGGGGCTCCACAGCCACCGACGGGTACCACTATGGAAACACCTTCTGGCGACTGTGCACGTGGTGCACAGATACCTACTTGGAACGGACATGAGCAACACATCTCAAAGAACAACAGTTACGAAAGGTATGTAACCGGTTTTTTTTACAGCTATCCATATATACACATAATATATGCATATTTATTTGTGTAAAATATAAACATATACATATCTGTGTGCGGTATATAAAGTTGAAAGCTAAAACTACACTAGTGCTACATTAAGTTGGAACAGTTAAAATGAGTCAACAAAAGTCAAAATGAAGATTCATGCATGAACTTTAATATGTTACTTATGCCTATTGTGTAGTGTTTTTGTTTTTCTTGCCACATTATACCTTTAATATATTGTTCTGATAATTGCTATAAAATATAAAGGAAGGGGTACAGTCTGAGTTAACCTTGCTGTTGGAACCTTATCTTTTGGGTTTTCTTGCTTAATTTTACTCTAACGGCGATACAGGTTATTTCCATTTTATAATGGTGAAAGGAAAAGACAGACTTTAACTAGTTGGTGTGTTGTTGGTGTCCTCATCTCTGGAAATACATGTTCAGTTTCATAAACCTGTCCCTCCTTGCTCACTCATTTTCAAAACAATATGTAAGGGTTAATTGTCACATGTGCCTCTTGCGGATAGTAGGAATGAACTGCAGTGTTTAGTATACTGTGCAGTTAATCCTGCAGTTTGATGAATGGACCTTGAATAGACAAGGAGAGTTTGTAGTCCTGACATGTAAACATAGAGTTAACTGTTCTCATTGCTTCTATGACTTACTGAAATAAATCACTGTATTAATACAGTGAGTTATTGAGACAGAGCGAGATTTAGCACTCTGGCAACCTGAGCTGACTGTGGATTGTAGCACTTAGCCTTCATGGCATCTCTGCTAACTGGGACTTTGAACATGGGGACCTTCTTCAGCATTGTGAGGCGTCGCTATAAAAGGAGGCGTAAGAAACGTTCTGAGAGGAAAGGTAGTATATTAATTTTTGTACTGTCAAAACAGAATAGTGGTGAGCTTTTATAAATAGAAAAATGCATTGTAGAAATGTTTTCAGATTATACTGAAATGTAAATACAAAATACAACATTTTTTCATACATATCTTTAAAAAAATAAATTCTCTAACACCTTTTTTAATTATGTTTGAGTATTGAACACGAAAAGCAATAAGCTTCAAATGGAAATCAATTTTCCAATATATTTCACTTGGCTTCCAGGCTTTCAAAATTCAAAATATTTATTTTTAGACAAACATGTGGAAGTCTTAAAGTTGCACAGCTTTTTGTATTTTACTGCTTGTTTTATCCCCAATGAATTGTTTCATGTGTCAGACTGTAAGCTGACTGTCTTGTCACTGGATATTCATTAATCAGTTCATAAAATGAGCTTTTTCTGTCTTTAAAATTAGCCTGTCTTGAACAGCAAGTATAAATCAGAGCTACTAAAAGTCTCCTTTATCTTTTAGCTACATTTGTAAGAAATCTGTAAAGTATCCAAACTATTAAAATCTCATTTAGATTGCATTGCTATTCTTCTAGCTACACCTTTGCTGTTTAACACATTTAGATTAGGTAAAGAAGGAATTCTTTTATTCCTTAAAATCTGCCAACTAGTTACATATCTCTTGAAAACAAAGTGCATTATTGAGAACCCTGGTATAGGCTCGTTATAATTTCTTGAAGTATTTTGTACTGTTTGTATCTTTGTATAATTGGAAAATACTGAATTGTCTCTGGAGAATAATGAGATATCTTGAAAAACAGAACATTTCACATATGGCACTTCATAAAAATGTATAAATCTTATAGAAAGGTGTAATTCTGCTGCTGTAAATGTTATTTTTCTGATTCCATTTGTATCTGTGAATATCTGTAACTCTTCTGGATGTCATTTTTGTATCTGGTTGATCGATATGGCTGGCATGTAATGTATTTAGAATTACAAGCATTCTTGTCAAATGCTGCTATTTGTATTTTAGAATATGGCAGTAGATACAGCCCTATACAGATGACATTAACTACAGTAACTGTATTTACTTACCATATCTATTTTGTGTTTGTGATTAAATATATCAAGTAATTCTAATACAGTGATCATATTATATTTGAAAAATATAGCAGAAGACTTTACTAACTGAAGCAATATCTCTAGGGAAAAATAATGGCTTTGCAAACTGTAATTAGGTTTTTCATCATTTAGATTCCATAAGTGGTAATGAATTTGTATAAAAACTGAGTAACTCAACCCAAATCACTAACAAAGTTGAGTATACCAAGAGCCGGCATGTTACCATACTATATCTTATGGTACCTTTACCTTACTGCAAATCCCTGCTAAGCAAATAACATTTACATTTTTTCTTGACTCTTGTCTTTTCTTTGAAAATACATTCTTCACAGTGCTTTCAAAGTTTAGTATTCAAACATTATGGATCATATCTTAGAACAGGCAGTAGGGGGAAAAAATTAAGGAGAAGGCTAAGGGCCGCATCCAGACAACTTAAATGGACTTTGGATCATGCCTATAGAGAGAAGATAATGATGATCTGACAAGACAACTTGAATCTGGGTAGGACTCTGCATTTTGTCACTGGACAAATTTCGCTAAAAATCACTGACTGATAAAATAGATCATTTGTAGTTTTGATCCTAGTGCATGTAAGCATTACTCATTTTTTAGATTCTGAAAGCTCTCTGGGTTAGTAGTGGCTTAGTAGTATTGCATGAAGTGCATATTCCCTATTGCACATACATTCAAATTGATCCTGAAATGTTTTTTTATTAAGATCCTTAAAATAAAATGTGAACATTGTATTGGAAAGTCCAATCAAGCTATGTTAGTTTTTTCTCTCATGTGTCCTATCTTTTAGATGTATTTAGAAAAAAATATGTTTATTAAAGTAGACTGGTGACATGATCCAAGAATCTTGTAAAATAATACATCTGTTTTAGTCACACTAGAACTGTATGGAAGGAATATTTAAGCTCTGTGAATAACTGTATAGGGATGAAGAAATAAAACAGTTAAAAGTTTAAACCTTCAGTGAATAAAGTGCTATAGAAGATAAACTAGTTAAGGATTCAACAAAAAATACTTACTTTTTACCAAATCAACACACACTTCACTTAAAAAAAAATGCCAGAGATTTCTAAATCCCTTTAGAGACCTGCTAACAAGACTAGATTTATTGTACAGTGTTTTTTCAAATAATGTTAGGGATTTCTAAAGAGCCAAATCTTGGTCCCAGTGAATTCAATGGATGTTTGTCATTAACTTCAGTGGGGCGTGGATTTGTCTAAACGTGCCCTTTGGTTCTATATGTAATTCTTCATATGCCAGTAACTGGTAATGTTTTTATTGTGTTCTTGAACATTTGTTTACTTTTGACACCACTGAAGTGGAAATGTGAATTTCACAAGGTGGACGATTTTTGTTCTTATATAATTAATAAACAGTAATTTAGATTCCTCAGTCTTTTAAATGCCAAATTAATCTACCAAAACATTTTTATATTTTAGGAGATTGTTACAAAATAGTTAATTATTTTAAGTAATGTGATTGATTAGAAGACATGATAAATTAAAACGTTGTTCTTCAGAATGTAATCTGAATCAAATTTGCTAGTCGTTTGAAAATTGATCAAGTCTGGGTTTGTTCAAAAGGGCAGATGATTTGGGATGGTGGATGGCTTTATTTTAGGCTTCTGTTTCTGAAACCTGTAATCCAGATTTCTCGATGTCTGTAGCACCCACCAGCTACTGTTCTCAGTGGGATCTGTTGAATGCTGAGCCGTCATGAAAATCTAGCCCTTATGGCCCAATCCTGTTTCGACTGAGGCCAGTAGAAAAACTCCCACTGACTTTGTTGGGAACCGGAAAGCAAAATTAGACCTGTAGTCGTACATACTTTCCTAAACCATGCTCTTTACAGTCCTGTTGTATTAATTTCAGAGATCAAGAGTTAAAGGGTGTTGTAAAATGTGTCATGGTCCAACATGAAACAGTGTTACAGAGGTTTGGAATTTTTTTTTTCTACATAGACCTTTGTTTCACTTGGTTCCTTGGCAAACACCCAAAAGCATTAATTCTAACGTTGAAATTTTATTGTTCAAACACAAGAAAGAATAAGCAATTAAAACAAGCATGTATATTGAAACAGGGAGATTGAGTGATTATGGAAAACAAACGATCATAACCTTTAAAATCTCTCTCCTTTTTGGAGGCAAAATATCAGTGTGTCATTTTCAGAACAGTCTGTCTCTGATGAAAAGGAAAGGATTAATTCTACTTTTAGTCCTGATGTGTAAAGTGCATTAACTTCTCCTGTTTCTAACAAAAACAGACACATGGTGGAGGAGAGAGGATCGAAAAGATGGTGGAAATATAGCTTTTGTTGATGTTTTTGCAACAGTGGCTGGTCAATCATAAATGGATGCTTTGGCTGGCAGATCAACCACAGCACCTGTTGCTTGGACCCTGGTTCCCATTCCAGTCAGGGACGTCATCTGGTTTCATCTTTTCTTCTTAGATAGTGCTGGGCTGTGGTCATCTCATCGCGCTGTGCTGAGGTAATGCAATTGATTTCAGGATTTGATGGAAAGCCTAGAGAGAAAGATAGACTGGGAGGAAGAGTGAAGGGGTGGGGGTGGAGGGACAAACATAAAAGGAAGGTAACCGAACAGGCGCTTATATGTCTTTGTGGTACTAGTAATTAGGTATCCCCATTGATGGGCTGAGAACTGGATGTCATAATGTTATGATGTTTGCAGTGTTGTAGCTGTGTTGGTCCCAGGATATTAGAGAGACAAGGTGGATGAGGTAACATCTTTTTATTGGGTAAAAGAAGGAGCTCTGTTTAGCTTGAAAGCTTGTCTCTTTTGCCAACAGATGTTGGTCCAATAAAATATATTACCTCACCCACCTTCTATCTCATGATGATGTAGTGATTTTCAGAACTTACCAGTGAACAAAGTTCTTTGAACAAGAACAAGGCCTAATGGCCTTCCTCTCAGGAAGAAAATCTTTGACTGGTCTGCTTATTCTGTCCTGGGGGTAGGTAGTATGAGACAAGACGAGCTAGTATACAAGGTGGGATGAGAGATGATCGTGAGTTTTTTCAGTCTCTTTTTAAGAATCCCAAAATGGGGAAAAGTGGGCGGCATAGTTCATCCCCCTTATTATTTTGTCCACCAATTAGGCTTAATATCCACCACACCCATTTTGATTAATTAATTTCCAGTTCCACATCTTCTGAATTTACCAAGTATGATTTAAACAGTCCTTGAATCATATCAGTAGCTCCTTCTTGTTTGAACTAATCCACTTTCTCTGTCTAGTTTTCTTATACTTGTTCATAACATTCATAATTGAAAACAACTTGACCTGTTTTCCATAGTTAATTTTCAGACAGACAAAAAGTTATATATTGTGTCATTTTATGAATTTTCACTGACTTATAGAATCACAGGACTGGAAGGGACCATGAGAGGTCATCTAGTCCAGTCCCCTGTGCTCATGGCAGGACTAACTATTATCTAGACCATCCCTGATAGGTGTTTGTCTAACCTGCGCTTAAAAATCTCCAATGATGGAGATTCTACAACCTCCCTAGGCAATTTATTCCAGTGCTTAACCACCCTGACAGTTAGGAAGTTTTTCCTAATGTCCAACTTACACCTCCTTTGCTACAATTTAAGCCCCTTGCTTCTTGTCCTATCCTCAGTGGTTAAGAAGAACAGTTTTTCTCCCTCCTCCTTGTAACAACCTTTTATGTACTTGAAAACTCTTATCAGGTCCCCTCTCAGTCTTCTCTTTTCCAGACTAAACAAACCCAATTTTTTCTATCGTTCCTCATAGGCCATACTTTCTAGACCTTTAATCATTTTTGTTGCTCTTCTCTGGACTTTCTCCAATTTGTCCACATCTTTCCTGAAATGTGGTGCCCAGAACTGGACACAATACTCCAGTTGAGG